AAAGTGAATGATAGATTATCTCCATATTTTTTTTTTAAATTTTCTCTATTCAATTTTATGCCATTTGTTTTGTGACCCCTTCCCTTTCATATTGACCAGAGATTTTCCTTGAAATACCTGCAAGAATGCCAACTGAATTAATTTAGAAATCAGAAAGGAGCAATACCAGATTAGGGTGGCCACTGAATACAGAATACAGGACATCCCCTTGCTAAGAGGCACTGGCAACCATGGTTAATCAGCAGCAAGGAGTGGGGCCACCAGGCCCCTTGGCCAAACAGCAACAAGGGGCAGAGCCATGACAAAAAGGCCACCTGCCTCCCACCCTGGATCACTCAAAACCCTGCTCCTCCTGGCTGTACACTGCCCTATCTCTAGACTCTGCCAATAGACTCATGAGGACAAATGATTGACCGGTATTTCCACCAACGAACTGAAAAACAACTTTTTGTAATCTGTTCTTCATTCAGAAATGGACAGGGGACAAAGCATTTAAAAACAGGATGGCCTCCTTAGAATAGATTGAATCCTGGCTTCCAGTCCACAAAGCTTTGCCTCTCTCTACACTGAATTCCATCTTAATTCAGCTAACTTGCTCCACTGCTCCTCCGCTGGTCTTAACTAACCTAATTTTTGTACAGCTGCAATTTTTTTCATTTTGCCTTTCAACCTTTCTCCAGATCATTAAAAGACACAAGTCCTAATATAGAGAAGGAAGACTGCACATACATTTTGAAAGTACATCACATACCGCACATCCTATGTGTGAAAAGGAACTGTTGTTGAACATGGGCTTGAAATGAGCATTTCTTGAAGCTCCCCACTATTCAGAATGGAGTTCCCAAAGCTTTCTCAGTTGACAATGTTATGTAAGAGGGGCTTAACCGCAGAATGAAGATTAGTCACTTCCTGGGCACAAAAACCACAGAGCCCTGCAGACTGTGTGTGGCAAAAATCCAGTGACAGACTTTTTTTTAGGAGAGCAGGTCTCTGAACTAAAGATATAGAGCTTTGCTCTTATAAATCCCGCAGGCAATTCTTGTTGGTTAGGCACTGGAAGATCATAAAAACATCAAACATCAAAAGCATCTCAGCTGTGCTACTGGGTCTCAAGTCTTAACCCTGCTACCATGTTTTTGTTCTTTTACTTGCCAAGGTCAGAATCTAGTTACTCAAGCATGTCCCCGGGGGGGATTGCAGTGCATTCTCAATCCTGATCTTTTATTTTACTTTTTCCTTTTCCCCCACATTTTTTAACATCCTTTCGAGTGAACTTTGAGAAGACAGTAGGAGGAAGGGAAAATTGTTCCCAGCTGCTTTTCGAAAAGTAGATACAATAGTTCAAATACTGTGTCTGCTGCTGTAGTACAAGAGCACTCTCCCTTCCATTTGCTGAACAGAGCTATTAGTGGTGGGCTGCAGACATTCAAATTCTAGCTATAAATTCTTTTATAAAGTGAATTTAGTTACCTTGAATGCTATTTGACTTGAATGTTTTGGGAATTTAACTCATTGATTTATTCACTGGATTGACACCACGGAATCAGAATTGGTGCAGACTTCTAGCATGCTGTCCGAGCCAATGTGCTTCAAGCCGGTCTCTCACTTCAGAGGGGATGACCTTTGAAGTGACAGATTAATTCAGCCTCTGCTCATTTAGGGGCTTACGTTTTCTCTTACTGAAATCAACTGCAAAATCTCTATTAAATTCCATGAGACTAGGATCAGGCCTCTGTCCTCTAGGAATGACACTGAGACCCTGAACAGTCAACAGATGTTAATGATCAGGGAAAGCTTTTCAAATGCAAGAAGGACATGGAAATATGCAGAAAAAAATATACATGCACTTATTACAACAGGGCATACAACTCAAGCATCTATTTGTGCAAATGCCCATTTTGCTAAAAATTATTAAACTTCTAGGCTTTCTAGATTTGCTATAAATCCTTCTTTGAAGTCTTAAGTTTATAATGCACCTATTTAATTTGCTCCATCTAGACTAAGTTAGTGGTCTTTATTTAGTTTTCTAGTTGTTATAAACTGGGGTTAGAATAGAGGATCTGGTTTCTATTTGGTTTAACCTTGGGAGAGTCACTTGACTTCTCTATTCTATCTTACTATCTGTAAAGTAGGTAGAATAACAGGTATAACAGTTATTACAGACGAATGTAATTAGACTTTATTAATTAGCATTTAGAAAGCGATTTGATTTCATCTGAATGAAAGATGTTGCTCAGATGACTTAGCCTTGTTATCTAGCCTGCACTGCAAGCACTGTATCTACCAGTGCGTTACTGCCCGTTATAAATTTTAACCTTTTTTGTGCCGTAGGTGCTTTACTCAATGTTTACTGTGCACAAATGGAGGACTGTGCTCTACCTTAAAACGTTCTGCATTGCTAAGCAGAACATTTCTCAGCCAAGTGCAATGATAGCTAAAGCACGCTGCGTGAGACCTGCTGTTGAATTTTCAACATCTCTCAGCCCTGCTGAATTTTCATCACAAGCAGTAGCCTCCAAGCCCCGAGTTGTTAAGAATGGTTATGGAAGAAATCTGGAGGTGGAAACCTTGTCAATCACTGACAATGGGTCTTGCTCAGCTGATAATAGAACTACTGCTGCTGCCTATGAAAGATTACTGTTAGCATTTTGGAAAGGCAGTAGGGTGACCTTTCTTTCCACAAGCCCAAGACCACAAGTGTCTGACAGCTTTGCTGTAAGGTTTTCTTGTTTTTTGCCACACCTGGTGCTCAAGAGGTTTTAAACAACTTTTAAATGAAAAAGGCTGAACTGGCATCCCTATATATTTTTGCATTACACTTTCTATGGCACTTTGTTCTTGATTCACTTATTGTGATTTGATACTATTTATTTTTACACCTTAATTTAGCCTTCTGCTCCTGCATGCATTTATTACCACTCTGCTTTCATTCAGTGCAGAAGGCAGCACAATACTGTGGGTCTGAGTCTGTATTTTTCAGATTCTTGTCACCAATGCCAAAGGCCAGCCCTATGCATTTTATGGAGGAATGTATAATATGTTCAGTACTAATACAAATAAACAAGTTAGAGAGATTTCTTTGCTAATACAAACAGCACTTCAGGCTAAACCTGACTGAACACCCAAATAAGTAACTGGGAGACCATCCATACTTTTCTATCAGCCCTATATAACAAGACCCAGAAGTACTATTTTCATTTCTTCTTTAAATGTCACAGATTACTAACAAATACTTTATCTTAACATCCAAATGCACAAGTAACATCCTAGTGAGTTAAGAAGAAGTATGCATGGAAATACTGACCCGCTTCCAATTTCTGATAACATTTGGATTTCAGTGTTGGGCTATAAGTACCAAAAAAATAAAAATTCATACCTAAAATAATTTCTGTCATTCAGTTTTTATCACATTGTACACATCATTGAAATCAAAATGGCTTTCAGTAATAAAAAGCTTACTGAGAAAACATGCTCACCCTTCAAAACATTGATACATATATTCTTATAGTTGTACAGAACCAACAATTATATGAAGTGTAAAGTGTTTCAGGGGTATACAGATACAAAAGGTATAGCACTTAACAATCCAATAGGAACATGCTTCTGTCTGAAAAGTCTCACAATCTAATTACACAACACACACATACAGTGTGAGGAGAGAAACATTGGCAAGAGCAATAAAAATTAAAGAGTAACATTAAGAGTAACATCTTGTTAGCCTATAGCTCTTAAGGGGACATGTATTTACTCATGCACCTTTTTCACTGGATGAGCAAAACAAGATTTATAGCCCTATCTTTAGAAGTAGCAATGTCTCTTCAAGAGGCACTGAAAGAGGAAATGAAAAGTGAGGTTAAGCCAATGAAGTCACATGGAAGAAGTCCCTAATGTGAAAAAAGCAGAGGCACATGAAGTAGCTGGTTATGCGTGTTCTTGAGTTGCATAAAGGGAGCAAGAAAGGCAAGTAATAAAAGCATAATCAGATTGCGTCAGATCTTGGAATGAAACCAAGGAGGTCTTCCAGGTAGTACAGGAGAACTAGTGTAGGGATTTTAAAAAGAGACTGGAAATAGCTATGGTTCAGGTAAACAGCCTTGTACTTATATTTATGACAGGCTGAAGATGGGGGTTGTATGAAGGAACCATCAAAGTAGCAGCAAACAAAAGAAAATCTAGGTGATACATTAATGTACATATCCTTATACCGATAGACTACGGTTCATGAATCTTATTATACATCAAATTTAATTTAATTTTACAAATGCTACTTTTAATATTTGTGTGGGGGTGAGGACGGTGTTGGAACTAAGCCTCCCTCAAGGGCAAGAAGGCTAGATATTTTAAAGATAAGTGACTGCATGACAGTTTAGGAGAATTTGAAACTACTAGCTCATTCCCTCTATATCCTCTGTATTTTAGTGTTCTCTCCAATCAGGTTTGAAAACTCCCTAGTAATGGAGCTTTCACCGCTTCTTCTGGGAGATTACACCATAGGCTAAAACAGCACACCATCAAGAAGTCTAGTTATTCAACCTACATGCTTCCATTTGCATTTATCATGCTATGACTCATAGGTTTAAAGTTGCCCTAGATATATTCTCATGGCAAAATAGTATGTTTATTGACTTTTGTTGTTTAGCTAAATCATATCTACAGCAAATACCTCTTAATTTTTCTGCATAAATTATTCTCTGCAACCCCTAACAATTTTTGAACTTCTCTGAAACACCTCGAGTTTGCCATTATATTTCTGATAGGTTGTCCAAAATCAAAAGTGATCTTCTAGATTATATGCATCAAACCCTTATTTTCCTAATTTATGCCTCCTTTGTATGTGAAGTTTAAAACTGCATTAGTCTTCTTGGCTGCCAAGCTACACTCCACATCCTTGTCTCACCTGGTATTTGCTATCATCTTCAGGTTTCTTCCATCTCCTACTTTTTTATATCTAGATACATCAACTTACACTCTTCCAAGGTTAATCCCTTTTGATTTATTTTTACACATTTCTCAATTCTCCAGGCTTAGCTCTACTAATTTTTTTGCATGTAATTATTCATTTTAGTTTCACAGTCAATGTCTAAACTTATGAATTTCCAAACTTCTTGTAGCTGGTGAAACTTTTAAGTTTATTTTCTTTTTTGCAGATAGCAGGTAATGCCATGACCTGATAGGATGTTTTCCACAGGACAACATCCTATTATTCTGGCTTGTGCTTTTCCCAGTAGGCCTTGCAGACCCCAGTCAGCTATTCTTCTATAAGTCTTTCCACAGGATGGGATGTTGTTTCCACAATATGCCTATGAGCTTCTTTCCAATGCTGCATCCTTAAGACCAGTGTAAAATGTACATGTCACTCCATCTCTGAGACTAACTTGTTTGGAAATACTTTAAACACACATGTGGATTATTTGCTCCCCTAGTTCTCCATTTGCAGTAAAGTTCACATACTATTCATGGTCAGGGATTCATCAGATTGTCACTTTACACAAGTGAGGGAAGAGAAATGGAAAGGTACAGCTTGAAATAGAAAAGGTACAGAATAATGAAAGCGATGAACAAGGCACTTAAGCACAGTGTAGCAGCATGGCATTTAGTTTATTCAGCAGGGGAGAAATAAAGAAAGCAATACTGGAGCATTAGAGAAATAAATTAATAATAGCTTATAAATGTGTTAACAGTTCTTTACAATGACACATGAGCATACAAACAGCAGTTTATTATCAAAAGATCACTAACTGCTTATAAATGTGTTGTCAGGATTATCACAGTGAAAAAAAATGAGGGCTTAAAGTGTCAATAATTAGAATTCTCCTAGGTTATAACTGTCACATAAACAGCTTGTAAATGACTAAAAATGCTACTCTAAAGTAAACTTCTCCCACTGAGTGGCTGTTGCTTTTAGTTGCCAAAGCTAGATCAGAGACCTGGATGTAGAGATGACTTTCTAAAGTGACCCCAACAGTATGTATGCATAGCAGGTTCATTTATTTGGTAAATAATAATAAACCAAAAAAGCAAGTCATGGTTTAACTATGCATCTGAGACAATTATTTTTGTTTGTATTCTGGAAGGATTGAAAAATTCCAGCATGAACACAATCATTGTTAGTTGGACTTCATCTCATATACCCAGGCTTTCCAGATACAAGATAAACACCAACTTTCAATCATGGCAGGGCACAGTTGGTAGAGGGGATTAAGGTAACACAACAGAATTTTGCTTTTAGGGATCTGAGTTCAAATTTTTTTCTGAAGCCACAAGTAGATTGCATAGTTCCCTCCTAATCCCTTATGTCCATTTGCCTTCTCTGTAAGGCCAACCCACAAGCAAAATGTGCATGAAGAACTAGAACAACAGGGCAATACATGGAGAACAGAGAGGTATTCTAAGGCCAGTGGTATGGACAATGTCAGATTAGATTATCAGAATACTCCTTTTTTACTTTAGGAATCTATACTTGTGTGTATTGGCAGGATTGCTCAGGGAATCCCACAAAGCTCCACTCACATAAATGCCTCTTAAACCCTTAACTTCCAATAAGCACTAAATTCACTTTACAGCAAGAACTTAATAAAAAACGAATAAAGAGTGCTGTACTGCATTGCCACCCCCATCTTCTATGTATTGCTTGTGATGTAGTCGAAGCTTAAATAAGTATTGTTAAATCAAAATCTATCTGAATAAATATCATAGCAATGTGTGTGTATGAAAGGATACTGAGGCATGGCTGAAGGCAGGGGAGAAGAACTAAACAGAACACTGCAGCCTGCTGTGGAAAAGGAAAAAGACACATATCATCAAAGTGGAATATAGCCACATTCTAACGTGTTCCTAGTTCATCTGATTTCTTTATACATGTCCATCCTAAATCCATTCCCCTGTGCAGACACATATGATATCCTAGTGGAGGGGTTAGACTCTTGATTCAGTACCCTGTCCCAAATTTAGGTGGTATCAGTAGGACTACACATGTATAAAGTTAGGCATGTGCTTAAGCTTGCTGCATCAGCATCATATGAGCTCTTTTGTTAGTTTCACGCACTTTGGGGATGATTTTGAGAACAAAAGCCTGATTCTGATCTCACATCAGTATAATGACTCTCAGAATTAGGCCCTGTGTGTCAAAGGAGAAAGGAGAAATTAGAACCCTTTAGGGTGGCTTTCTATGACCAGGTCACAAAATCCTTGGACACAGGTGTTGCGGTGAACATATTCTTTCTGGACTTTAGGAAGGCCTTCGACACTGTCTCTCACCCCATTCTTGTTAAAAAAATTAGGAGATTGTGGTGTCCATGCCTACACAGTCAGATGGGTCACCAATTGGCTGGAGAGACACACCCAGAGAGTGGTGGTGGATGGGTCTTTTTTGACCTGGAGGGATGTGGGCAGTGGAGTCCCCCAGGGCTCAGTCCTCGGGCCTGCACTGTTCAGCATCTTCATTAGTGACTTGGACAAGGGGGTGAAAATCTCCTTGTTCAAAATTCGCGGATGACACTAAGATGTGGGGAGAAGTGGGCATGCTAGAAGGGAGGGACAGGCTACAACTTGATCTGGACAGGTTACAGGGGTTGGCAGATGAGAACAAGATGGGATTCAATACTGACAAGTACAAGGTACTGCACCTAGGGAGGAAGAACCAGCAGTAGACCTACAGGCTGGGGAACTCCCTTCTCATCAGCACAGAGGCAGAAAAGGATCTTGGAGTCATTATAGACTCCAAGATGAACATGGGCCACCAATGTGGGGGATGCAGTCAGGAAGGCCAAGCACACCTTGTCATGCAGCCACAGATGCATCATGAGCAGGTCCAAGGAGGTGATACTCCCCCTCTATCAGGCCGCAGTTGGAGTGCTGCGTCCAGTTCTGGGTGCTGCACTTCAGGAGGGATGTGGACAACATGGAGAAGGTCCACTCGCATGATCAGGGGGCAGCAGGGCAGGCCCTACGAGGAGAGGCTACAAGACCTGCACCTGTTCAGCCCATGCTAGAGAAGTCTGAGAGGGGATCTGGTGGCCATCTATAAACTAGCCAAGGGAGACCAGCAGGCAATGGGAGAGCCCCTGTTCCCCCAAGCGCTACCAGGACTAACAAGGAATAACGGCCATAAGTTGGAGAGTAGATTCAGGCTAGATATCAGGAGGCACTACTTCAGTCAGGGTGGCTAGGATCTGGAGCCAACTTTCAAGGGAAGTGATGCTCGCTCCTAGCCTGGGGATCTTCAAAAGGAAGCTAGACAGACACCTAGCCAGGGTTGTTTGGCCCCAGCATTCTTTCCAGCCCATGGCAGGGGGTCCGACTTGATGCTCAGGTCCCTTCTGGCCCTACCAACTATGAAACTAGGGTTAGGGACATAAATTACACATAAACTTGTATAAGTCATCAGAAACCAGTTCAAATCTGTGATAAAATAGATCTAAGTTCAGACAGTCAAAAAGCCCAACGCTGAATCAATTCAGTCTTCATAGGTTAGTCTAAGTTGTCTACATTGAACTAATAAGCAAGTGAACAGACATTCACTTTTGACTCCAGAAATGCAGCCACATGCCTGTAGTGGCCCAGGCCAGAAGCCAGGAGCCTAGAGGACACCTCTCTGCTGGGATGGAGCAGACAGTTCTGGCCAAAGCTAGCCTGCCTACCCTGCAAGGGTTAACTTGAATCTGGAGGGGATCTGGGACAGAAATTCAATAAACAAATTCAACCTTAATCAGTTAAGTGTGATACTACATCCATCAAGGTTTATCTTAAACCAGTTTTGGCCATTTTGAAACCAGTTTATGTGCACTGAACTTCTGTTGTGTTATAGATTTGAACCAGTTTTCAATCATTTATACCAGTTTATGTGCAATTTCTGTCTCTAGCCCAGAAGTTCAGTGCACATACACCACTGTCAAAATGGCCAAAAGTGGTTTAAGATAAACCTGGATGAATGTAGTATCAGACTTAACTGATTTAGCTTAAATTGGCTTATTGAACTTCTGTCCCAGATCCCCTCTATATTCCAGCTAACTCACAGTCCCTCAGTATCCCAGGAAGCTTTGCACCTCCCCCACAACCACGGGCGTAGGGTGGGCAGGCTAGCTTTGGCCCACACTGTCAGCTCCAACCAAGCATGGCCATGTGCTCTAAAGCCTCCCAGCTTTTGGCTTGGGCCACTGCAGGCCTGTGGCTCCATTTCCAGACTCATAAGTAAATGTCTGCCACTTGCTTATCAGTTCAATCTATGCAGATTAGACTAACTTTGAAAGATCATTTCAGTCTTTGCATCTCAGGCTTTTTGACTGTCTATACCTTAGCCCAGAATTGCAAGTACAGAAGGGTTTAACTAAAGTTTTAATAGTCCTCCAAAAGGAACTGAGTTGACAGAAGACTGAGGTTGCAGTACCATCCCAACCCAGGTTGTGTTCTGGGTTACATGACGGCAGAAGAAATTAAAATCATACTCTTTCTGGAAGCTGTACTCTCCTTGCACTGTTCTCCAAGACACCTTCCTTTAGCATTCTGCCTTTCTTCCCTACAATCCCATACTTCTTTGGTCGGATATACCACCCTTATCCTTACTGCTACCTTGTATGCACACGTGTATACATTCACACCTGGGTATACTCCACTCTGATTTTCTTCTTTATTTTCCATAGCAGGCTCCACAGCCCTGTATAGTTATTGACCTTCCCCTTTCATTCCCCCATTCTTCTACCCACGCATCACTATACTCCTATACAAGTATTTCTTGGGTTTTGAATGTACAGAGCTCAGACCTATTAACTTGAGTTTGAAGATAAGGGGCAGATTAATACATGATTTTGAAGTCACTAATGCCTCACAGATGAAATTAAAGCAAAAATTTGGGCCAGAATATAAAGAATTATTATACCTGAGCAGATCTAGATGCGCTGTTAAGGGTACATTTGAGGAATGTGCAATGTAAAGTATCTGGGACAGAAAGGGTTAAATGAGAATTGACAGAAAACCAAACTACAAAAGATGCCATAACAGGAAATAAGGCTATACACATTAAGCCTCCTTAAAAGTAGTACAAAAAGAAGTCAGACCAAGGTTACGCGAGCTGACTTAGAGGTTATAACTGAAACGAGCACTGAAATATACAATGTTGTAATTATATCTCAAGATGGCAAGGTAATTGTGGTGGCACTTGCACAGAGATTTGGGAAGTAGGGATATGAGAGCAAAAGGAAAGAGATCAAAGGGTTAGGTGATGTACTGTAGAAGGTGGGGTGGTTGAAATGAAGAGCACAAATGAGACTATTGAACAATGATAATGACTGTACTTTAATGTATTGCATTTATTATCACAGCCATTCTTTTA